ATTTTTTAATTGTTACTGTATTTCCCTGAATTTTTAAAAATTTTGAACTCCAACAATAATTTTCTTGTTGATGCATGGCACACACACTCTGAAAGTATATAAGTTGTCACACTTTAGGTTGTGTTAGAGAGACTTAGGAAAGTTTCGATAAAATCGATACTGTTATGACACCCTAAACCCCCTCATTACGTGATAATCAATTTAGATACCGATTATGCCGAGACCTTAGGCTCAAGTTTTCAAAGTAGCTCTTAAGTAGTTTATATTAGCAGTCAACACCATCTTAAGCACAAACTACATAGGGAGTCGATGAATATAAGTGAATGATCCTAAAAATTCTAAAAAAAATTAGTTGTCATAATAAATTTAATATAGGGAATGCACCTATTGAGTTAGGTGATCCTCACTCACTTACTTAATCCATCGGTTGTGGAACCTACAAAAATATAATAAAACAACCCTTCGTTAGTTGGTTCAGAGGTGTCTGGTGCTGAATTTGGTAGGATGGACTACAATCTGATCCCCCGCAACTGCAATTGGTTAAATAAAAGGGGTTACCAAGCTTATGTACTAAAACCCCAAGAAAAGGATCATGGTCGCTAACCGATTTCCCTACTATGTGCATGTACGGATAATGGGCTTAATGTGATTGCACTTGAATGAAAAGAGTGAAAGAAAAACGAGAGATATAGGTTGAGTTATAATGGCATGATTCAAATTGGTTTGAATAAAGAGGGAGTCTTTAAACATTGTGTCGTTATGGTATCCTTGGTATTGAATAATTAGTACCTATCAAACTAACATTAGCCTAGCAGCCACATATAATTAGGATTCATGTCGTGCTCATGTTTCGAATCACTCTTAATTTTTTATTTTATCGTGTTGGTCGATTGCTTGAGGACAAGCAATGGTTTAAGTGTGGGGGAATTTGATAACACAAAATTATATCGTATATTCGACTTGATTCACATGCATTTTTATATTGTTTTTCATTCATTTTATCTTGTTATGTCGGTATTTCTATTTCATTTCAGGTATTTACATTTTACAAGGCTCGCATAAGAAAAGAGGAAGAAATGACAGAAAATGTATGACTCTGTAGCAGAAAACAAAATAAAATGCATCAGAGGACTGTGATGGTCTTCACAGCCTCCTGTCGGTAGCCACAGTATGAAAATATGTGTGCCCCTCGGCACACATGATGTTCCGGTCGCCACTCTTTAAAAGTATGTGTGCCCCTCGGCACACATGATGTTATGATCAACACAGGTTGAAAATATGTGTGTCCCACGACACACATTGCATGCCACTCGTCACAGGCCAATTTCAGTGTTAAACACGAAGTTCTCTCCATGTCTGAACGAAGTTCCCATGATTTTGTCACCAACCATGATCTCCATTATCTCCATTGTCTCCAACTTCCCATTATCTCCACCATTTTAAACTTCCAATGATCTCCACTACCTCTCGCATGTTAACTTCCATTTTATTTCTCTCTACATAGGATCTTAGAAATTAGTTTTAGACATCCAAGTTTTGTGCGCAGATTATTATTGTTAAATTTCTAGGCAGAAAACTCAGTATGTAAAAGTGGTAGTTTCTCACATCGAGGAATTACCACACCATTAGTTTTAGGACCTTTCATTTGTACGCTTGGATCATAAGCTTGCTAGATTATTGAAGATTAATTTCAGTTTTAATTCAAGTTTCTCTTTTACAGGTTCTCTTTTATTGCTTTATTATTATTATTATCGTTTATGATTGTTAATTTAATTACCATGTTGTTTTCAATTGAATTTGCTATATTTAATTATTTTCAATCAATAGTATGTCTAGCTAAAACATTTAGAGCCTAGTATTTGAGGACCGTCGTCTCTGACGGGACTCAGTAACGAAGTTGGCTTAAATCTTTGTTTGAAACTTATGTTTCGGTCTTTTGTTTTTAAAACTTAATTTAAGTAGCCTTGTCACGAGAGTGAGAGGTTAGTTAACATGATTTTTCCACGAGAGTGGGAAATTAACTAAGTTTCAATTCGACACAGCGAGAGCGTGGGGGTCGAACCGAATGGTAGAAACTAGGGATTAATTCTAAACACAACGAAAACACTTTAGGATTGATTATAATTTATTAGTTTTCAAAAAGTATTTTTAAATGTTGAATGAAACAGCGAGAGTGATCATTTAAGTTTAATAGTATAGTCCAAATCAATAATCACGAGAGTGTGAGATAAAGGCTTTTAAATCAATATTTTCCACTAAACACTTTTCTAACGTCAGTGTAAGCCAACAAGTTACAGAGTCTTTGAGGTATGCGAAATACACATTTCGGTCTCTCTTTTCACACACACACACACACACACACACACACACACACACACACACACACACACACACACACACACACACACACACATACACACACACACACACACACACACACACACACACACACACACATATATATATATATATATATATATATATATATATATATATATATATATATATATATATATATATATATATATATATATATATATATATATATATATATATATATATATATATATATATATATATATATATATATATATATATATATATATATATATATATATATTCCTTAATATTATTTTATTTCAGTTTTAGTTCTTATTTTCTCCTAAATTAATCATTCATTAGACTTAGCTTTACAAAGCAACAATAGATTACAGCAGGTTGACATTGGTCTTTGTGGGTTCGACAATCTTTTATATTACTTAGATATTTCCATGCACTTGCGGATGCATCAAAAGGAAACAGGGTTTGTAGCTAGTTGACATCCATAACTAGGTTCAATTATTCCTCCCCAAAGATGGCATTGATAGCACCCCCACCATGAGGCGGCATGGGGTTCTGAATGACATTAGGGACATTATCTGGCGCGAAGTTGATAGCCTGTGAATCGAGAAGGTCTTGCACCTTGTGCTTCAGTGCTATACAGTTTTCAACCGTGTGACCAGGAGCATCTAAATGGAATTCTCAATGAGCATTGGGATCAAAATTTGCAGGCAATTTATTGGGGTCAATGTTCAAAGTTCTCAACTCAATTAGCTCCAATTGCAAAAGATGAGCCAGAAGCTGAGCATATAACATGGGTATAGCATCAAACTTCCTTCTAGAGGTTTAGGTTTCTGCTACTGATTCCCCCGTCTAGGAGCATACGCTTGTTGATATTGTTGAGATTGCTACTGAGGAGTTGTGGTAGGAATTGTCACAGCTGCAACCTATTAGTACGAATCTTGATAGGCTCAACCCTTCCTCTTTCGTCAGTTCATAGCACTAGTTTCACCCTCCCTCTTTTTGGATACCCGTTGAACGACTTCTTACCACTACCAGATGAACTACCAGATGTAGCAACTTTGATCTTTCCCATTTTGAGTCCCATCTCAATTCTTTCACCAATCAGAACCAAATCAGAGAAGTTACATGTAGTGCTTCCTGCTGTGAAGAATAACCCTTTCAAGGTGCTAGTGAACATATCAATAAGTTCCCTCTCTATCTTAGGAGGTTGAACTCTTGCTGCTAGTTCACGCCATCTTTGCGCATATTCTTTGAAGGACTCATTATGCCCCAGAATCAAGTTTTGAAGTTGTGTGCAATTAGGAGCGAGATCAGTATTATATTGATAGTGCTTGACAAAAGCTTCTGTGAGATCCCTCCAACTGCGGATATGTGCCCTTTTCTAACTGCATGTACCATTCTAGAGGAGCGCCAACCAGACTATCCTGAAAGAAATGCATGAGCAACTTTTCATCATTGGAATATGCAGTCTTTTTTTGTAGTAGGATTTTATATGTGTCCTAGGATAGATTGTGCCCTTATATTTCAGAAAGTCTGGTGTCTTGAACTTTGGGGAAATCTTCACCCCGAGGACCAATCCCAAATCATATATATCCAAACCCATGGTGCCTTGACTTTCCATAGCCCTCATGCATTCTTCAAGCATGTGAAGCTTACGGTCATCTTCTGTTGGTTCCTCATTCATAGAATATAGATCTTTATAATTATCTTCCTCCAACTGTTGAGCAGGGATCTGAAATATTCTTCTAGGTTGTTGTTGCTGTTGAGTAAGAATCTTCTCAAGTGTCAGACGAGGAGGAGGAGGATGAGGAGGATTTCTAGTTGGAGTACCTTGTTGCAGATTAACCCCTCCAAGAGGGTTCCAATGATTATTACCAGGAGGATTATGTACGTTGATCTCTTGTTCAACTTTTGTAGCAGGTCTCTGCACCATAGCCCTAAACTCCTGGCCATATTCTATATGATATCCATCAGCTGAGCCATGCGGGTGTCCATAAGGGCACCCATGGCGGTCAATTCGGCTAGAATTTGCTCCATTCTTTGCTATTCGTTGTGGCGAGTGGAATAGCGATGCAGATTAGGATTTGCAATCTCTGTTGATAAGAAAACTAGAGCAGATAAGAAGACCAGTTTGAACACCTGTTATGTATGAAGTGCTTGTGTGCATGATGTGTATGTAAATGTTTTACCATTTCCAGGGGATCCTGAATTTTTGTCATTCATTAAGAATAAAAAGCAACAAGATATAATAAAGTCAAGGGTTAATACCTATTTTCACCCCTGACATATGGGGTGTATTTGAAAAACCCCCTGCCAAAAAAAAAGTTCCAATTGTTACCTTGACAAATTTTAAAAGTTTCAGTTTTTACCTTGAGGATGCCACATCACCTAAAAGGCTGATGTGGCTTATATTTTTATTATTATTTTAATGACATGGCTTGATTAGTTGTCATTTTTAATTAATTTTTAATTTGTAATTCCATATGGCATTTATATTAATATTTTATTAATTGAGTGTTAATTCAAAGTTAAAAAAATTTTGTCCTTCAACAGGAATCGAACCATGGACATACTGTCTGCAGTGAACACTTCTTACCACTAGACCAATGCATTTTCTTTGTTACATATATGCATCAATAAATATTCATATCATTAACATGGAAAAATCCCTCGAGTCCAGTTTCGTTCGCGACGAAAGCGAGCGTCCGAAAGTCTCTTACAATGACTTCAGCAATGACATTCCAATCATTTCTCTAGCCGGAATAGACGACGTCGATGGCCGAAGAACACAGATTTGCCACAAGATTGCAGAAGCTTGCGAGAACTGGGGTATCTTCCAGGTTGTTGACCATGGTGTGGACTCAAAGCTCATTTCTGAGATAAGCCGTTTTGCTAAAATGTTCTTCGATTTGTCACCAGAAGAGAAGCTTCAGTTTGACATGTCCGGTGGTAAGAAGGGTGGCTTCAATGTGTCTAGTCATCTCTAAGTACGTCGTAATAAACAAAAAATTATACTGTTTTAGAGTCTTAATAAAATATATATGAACAAAGAGTTTTATACTAATTTGAAATTGTTTTACAGGGAGAAGTAGTGAAGGATTGGAGAGAGATAATGATATATTTTTCATATCCAATCAACCAAAGAGACTATTCAAGGTGGCCAAACAAGCCAGAAGGATGGAAAGATGTTACAGAACAATACAGTGAGACTCTTATGAGTTTAGCATGCAAGCTATTGGAAGTTTTATCAGAGGCTATGGGGTTAGAGAAAGAAGCTCTAACAAAAGCATGTGTTGATATAGATCAAAAGGTTGTCGTGAATTACTACCCAAAATGTCCTGAACCTGATCTCACCCTTGGCCTAAAACGACATACTGACCCTGGCACAATAACTCTGTTGCTTCAAGATCAAGTGGGTGGTCTTCAGGCTACGAGAGATGATGGAAAGACGTGGATCACTGTTAAGCCAGTTGAAGGTGCCTTTGTTGTCAATATTGGAGATCATGGTCATGTGAGTACACTTTTTTTTATATTTAAAATCATGTGTATATATACTATACTCTATTTTATTGCATGGTGCTTATTTTCATAATTTGTATAATTTGCACATGCATGCAGTATCTGAGTAATGGACGGTTCAAAAACGCTGATCATCAAGCAGTTGTGAACTCAAACTACAGTCGATTATCGATAGCAACATTCCAAAATCCAGCACCATATGCAACTGTGTATCCTTTGAAGATTAGAGAAGGAGAGAAATCTGTGATGGAAGAACCAATCACTTTTGCTGAAATGTATAGGAGGAAGATGAGCAAGGACATTGAGATTGGTAGGATGAAGAAGATGGGTAAAGAAGAAAAAGAAATTAGGGACCTACAGAAATATATATTCAATTTGAGGGGTTAATGATATGAATATGTTAATGATATGAATATTTATTGATGCATATATGTAACAAAGAAAATGCATTGGTCTAGTGGTAAGAAGTGTTCACTACAGACAGTATGTCCATGGTTCGATTCCTGTTGAAGGACAAAAAAAATTTAACTTTGAATTAACACTCAATTAATAAAATATTAATATAAATGCCATATGGAATTACAAATTAAAAATTAATTAAAAATGACAACTAATCAAGCCATGTCATTAAAATAATAATAAAAATATAACAAAAATATAAGTCACATAAGCCTTTTAGGTGATGTGGCATCCTCAAGGTAAAAACTGAAACTTTTAAAATTTGTCAAGGTAACAATTGGAATATTTTTTTTGGCAGGGGGGTTTTTCAAATACACCCCATATGTCAGGGGTGAAAATAGGTATTAACCCTAAAGTCAATAAATAGAGGAAATAAGTCAATTGAAATGCTCATTCATTCAAACAAACAATTCTCGGTTAAATTTGTACATAAAGACCATAATCAAAGCAATGAAGGATAAAAGACTCCAACCAACAAGTCTGGTGGTGGTCATAGTACAATCATGAAAATACATCATTGAGAATCACTATCCATCTCTATATGAGCCAACGGTCCCCCTCCCATATTCCGCTGACTCTAAGATTTAGATTCTTTGAATAACTTCTTGGTAGCTTCCTGGGTTGGCTTCTGAACTAAGTCATGAATAAAGAGATCCTTCTGGTGGATCATGGTATCCAAGTAGCGACAATGTAGTATCAACTTATCACACTAATTACATTCTTCAAGTTGAACCTCGATGGGGGTTTTGCTTTTTCCCTATTCGAGCCTTGAGATTTTAATTCTTCTCTATGAGATGAGAAACCTCTTCATTGAGTTGGACTTCCTTAACTTTGAGTTGTGCTTTCACATTATCAACTTTGGCCTTGTACTTCTCCTCTATATTTCTCTTGGATGCTAGGAGATTCTCACATTTTTGACGCTTCCTTTGAAGATTTCTTTCATCTTTCTCTAAAGCCATCTTCTGGTCTTCAAAAACTTTCTTTTAGTTATTAACAAACCTTGGTTTCTTTCTGGCTCATGCTACCCCAGAACTGTCTTCCTCTATCCGCTTGAGCTTGGGAGTTAACTAACGCTTTTCTTGCATAGCCATGAAGAGTTGCATCCCCATATCATTTTTATCTTGATGTAGTATATCGTTGGTACAAATTCTGATACATCAGAAGAATGATGATTAAGAGACGCTTAACTAGGAAATGGCTGATCAGAGGTTGGATCTAATGGTGGTTGACTGGAAGCTGGTGGATCAAAATATGGTTATAGATACAACAAATATTCTCTTTTGAAGGGAAACAACAATGTCTCAGCTTGGTTCTTAATCCATTTCACATAAGGAGCAAGAGCCATACACCCCTTCCAACCAAAGAAGATCTTCCCTTTTTTATGAACATTGCCCTTAACAACTTTTACCCTTTCTAGCATCTCAGGATCTTTTCCCTTACCAAAGAACACATATTCTTCCACCTCCCTATAAATAGGCTTGTCTTTCATAACGTACCCTAATTGGCGAAGAGCTAAAACTGGATTATTATTAATTCAACCCTTCGTTCCTATGAGAGGAACATTGGGGAATCCTCCACAACTTGCAATAATTTCCCCTCCGCCCATCATTTTGTACCAGCTTACATCGAAAGAAGTGAGCACCGTAAGCCTTCGGGAGAAATGGAGTGAATCACTGACGTCTATAAATGGTCCTTTTACTGGTAGGTGTGACACGAACCACTTGCATAGTAGAGGAAGTAAACAAATGACATATCCTTTCTTACCATGTCTAGAGTGGATAACACAGTAAGTATCCCAGAGTATTGTTGGCATTGGATTACCATTCATAAAAATGAAAATTACGTCTAAATCCACCAAATTCTCTACATCAGGAAAAAGGATTATGTCATAGATCATGGCAGCCAATAGTGCGTTGAATGCAACACAATCTTCACTCTTTGTAAACCCTGTAGCTTTATTGCCAAGAACTTTTGAGAAAGACCGCATGTGTTACTCTTGCTCTTCGAATTATCTTTCACATCACTAATGGTCAAATAAAAAGAAGCAACAATGGCTTCAAGATCAGGACCTTCCGGTATGCAGACAAAGGGAACATGATTTTTAATCTTAATCCCAAGAATGAAAGTGTATTCTTTGAGAGTTGGCGCCAATTGATAGTCCTAGAATGTAAAACATCACAATTGTGGGTCATAAAACTGTAAGAGCGTTTGAATGGCCCATGGACCAACCTCATTATTCAGTAAGGACAGGAGATTCCCATATTCTTCTTTGAAAGCTTTCTCGTTCTGATTAACCACGCGAGCACCTACTCTTTTTAGGAGGTTCAAATCAACAGTAGGGAACTTGTAGGAGATGGTGTTTTTGGTGAGCTCCTTGCATGTATCTATGTTGCTCGACATTGTTGATAAAGACAATGACTTTAAGATACCCTAAAAATGACATGCATATGCAGGTTAGTTTTATTTTTCATATATATATATATATATATATATATATATATATATATATATATATATATATATATATTATATATATATATATATATATATATAATATATATATATATATATATATATATATATATATATATATATATATATATATTATATATATATATATATATATATATAAATATTATATAAATATATATATATATATATATATATATATATATATATATATAAATACACACTTTTTTAACGCCATGATACAAGTGTAATAAATAGGATCAAGGTTCTATAGAAATGGATATATGCTACGATGTTCTGAATAATCAGAATGTTGTGAGATCAAAGGTCCGACATCAATATCAGAACTCAAAGGAACCAAGTATCATGAAGATCAGCATCTATACCTGTTAAAAATCAATTTCATCCCCATCTCACTGGCAAAATATGGTCAAGGTAAGGTCGAAGGTACACATATTCTTGAGTCCCTGTGAAAATACTATCATCGTAACACCGAATGTGCATAACGATAACATCCCACAATGAACCTCTTTTGTGCATGGCACACATGACCACGCTAGTAGGATCTACATCCAGTAGCCGTCATGACTCCACTCTAGTCATATGTGTTCCTAAGTGTATCTCTCTGGCCTAGGTACTTGGCCTTTTACCTCATAGTATCATCCCGCCCACCAAAGAAAACAACAGTATAACATATATCCAGAATATATAAACAAGTAATCCAGATGCAAACATGTAATGCAAGTACATAAAGCATATATTCACGAAGTAAATAAAGCTAACAAGTAAGGCATAAAGATAAAAACCCAATGAATATAAACACACAAGAGCTAGGACTGACTCACTTAGGTGTCCCCAGTGAAGTCGCCAGCTGAAGCAACTAGGAAAATAATGAATGAAGTTGTCATCGAATGTTATTTATCCTAAAGAAGGGAAAGGAAAATATCGAGTAAACCTGAGAACAGAAATCATCAAGGTCTTGCGACCAAGATAAGGGTACGAGAGTCGATTACGCAAGGGTAAGGTATTAGCACCCCTCACGTCCGTGGTACTCCATGGGATCCACTCTTGTTATTATAATAAAATGGTGTGTTTATATAATCTTACAAGATAAACGAATGCATGAATGCAAAATAAAAATACAGGGAAAATAAATGTTTTAAATAGTTGTACTCGCTTAGGCCCTACAACCCAATTTCTATGTATCCCTTTTAAGGAATCATAGCTCCATAGTTCAGCTCAAAAGTTTTTGTTTGTTTTGTATTTTTTATGAACAATATTAATTTTGCATTCTACTGCAACTCGACCTTTGGAGACTCACGCGTTGTCGTAGAAAGGAATTGACTTGTTCTTACCTAAAAAGGTTTTCTTAAAAGAAAGGGCCCGAAGGAAAAAAGGTTTGAATTTGTTGAGTGTTTTTGTTGGGATAATAGAAAATGACTCCCAATGCAGAGGCATCAACTATTTCTCCATTTATTTTCAAAATAATTTGAGATTATAACTCCATTAAAGAATATGATTGAAAGGAAGCACAAGGTTAAGAATATACCGTCTCATACTTCTCCCAATACTTAAGGCTCGTGCCATATGGTTCGCATCATTATTGTTATGTGTTTTCAACATTTGATTAAGAAAAAGAGTTTTAGTCTTAATGATGCAAAAGGGTAATGAAAAATATAAGGGCACCTCAATTCCTAATGTTGTAATGCAATGGTGGTCCTAAAGTTAGGATTAACAAAGGGAAAGCTACCTAATGTTAGCATGCATGGTTTAAAAGCCTAATGTCTACCTTGATTCAAAGATGAACCAAGTGAACCTAAGAGAACATACAAAGACAAAATAAGAACATAAACAACAAAATAAAATGGCTTAAGAGCCCCCCAAACACCTAAGTGTAAAGTTTTAACATCAACCATCAAGTGACAACCAAACAAGCCTAAACTCTAATGCATACTTCATGTCATTAATCAAATAGTAAAGATGTATCTAAGTAAAGACTTAACATATGTATCCACTAAGGTTCCCCTAAGGGTCATGCTTAAATGTTTCCACCCTAAGCATTACAAATCAAGTCAAAAGCAATCAACAATCATACAAGCACTCAAGGCTTAAAGTGTCAAGATAACACCAACGTTTAGCAAGCAAAAGTAAAAGAATTTAGGCAAGATGGAAGCCTCTACAGGTCAGAAAGTACATCATTTATATCATGAAGACATACAATAAAGCTAAACCATCAAGGTTACAACCTAAACATGCTCCTGATCATCAAAGAAAAAAGGGTTTACAAACATTAAGTCAACATACTGAAAGATAGGATACAAACATGTTTCAAGTTTCAACTTCTAAAGCAGACACTTAAACCAAATCATAAAATTGTATCTACACATGTAATAGGATGATACATAAATTCTAAAGGTTTAAACATAACCTAAATATCAATCCTAAAGGTCATGCACCAT